CTGTTTGGAAACGGGACCAAGCTGGACTTTGGGGGTAAGTCACTTTTCCAGCAGAGGTGACTCACATGGTATTATAAATAGGAGCAGATCATATTTGATGAACTCAGGATGAAAAGCTAAAAAGCTCTGTCATTTCTAGGATTTACAATGCGGCGAGATTCTCCTGCCCCGATGTATTTCTTAAACACAGCTTTAACACTCACCACCATCATCAGTGTGTTATCAACTTTTTTAGTGTATAAGATGAAAAAGAGGAACAACTGCCAATCCAGAGGTTAGAATTTTTGTTCTTATTTTACTCTTGTGTTTAAAAATAGTGGCATTGAAGTTTAAATCATTTCCTTTTTTCCTCAGCAGACTCAAACACAAATAATTCTGTAAATTTAGAGGTGAGTTTTAAAGTGTGGAAGTTCATGTGTTTTTAGGAAATGAGATTTCTTGTTGAATTGTTATTTTGATTCTTTTGGTATCCAGAGCACCCAAGAGGACAACCTTCATTATGCTGCTTTGAGAAAAATTAGGACGAAAGGAGCAAGAAGACAGACGAGCAACACCCAGGAGGAATGTGTGTACTCCGAATGTGTGTACTCCGGTATAAAGTAAACAGTAGAAATGATGATTTTTAGTATTACCTTTCTGCTGTAGTATTTTCATTTTTTGGTCTGAAAGAAAAGATATTTAAAAAATGATTTAACTGCTAACAGCATTTGATCACTTGTATAATTTTGAAATTCCTGTAAATGTAATTCCAGCAGATACTTTGTTTTGGATTGTTGGGTTTGATGTATTTTTAGTTTTTGTGTATCTTTAGTTTTTGTGTAATAATGTATAGTATTATAGTGAGTATTAGTCTCCCAAGTGTTCCCGTTCCCGACTGTGGAGGCCCGTACTCACATGGCCTCCACAGTCACCAGATTCCAGTTCCACAGAGCATCTTTGAGATGCGAGTTTCATATTGGGGATGTGCAGATACCAAATCTGCAGCAGATGCTGTCATAGCTGTATGGACCAATATGTCTGAGCAAGGTTTTCAGCACTTTTTTGAATCAATGTTTTAAAGAATTAAAGCTGTAAAAATGAGTGTTGGATACTGGATGGATATTGGATATTTAAAATGTAAAGATCCAGCTTTAATCGAGAGTATCCCAACAATAAGATAATCCCCAATGAGCACCAATACTCACACCATTTATTTCTGTGGAAAAAGATAAAACCCAGCTTTACAAACACATTTTAAAAAAATATTAATGCGATAAAAACAACGTTCTCAATTAAAATCTACAACTATCCAAGAAACCGTACAATGTCTCTCATATACTAAAATTCTACCCCCCAACAGTCCTGCAGTACCGTTGACCAGCAACGCTCAGGCTAATGTTCCTTATATAAAAACAAACCAGGAGAGAAAGTCCTCTTCTGCAATAGAGTCCACGCTCGGCAGGAAGCCAAGAAGATTTTCCTATGGTGGCCCTGTCCCTGCTTGACGGCCATGTCGCCACACAGTCCCGCCACACTCCACACTTGGTCTCTCGATTCCTCCAACTTCCCTCGTTGTGCTGCCCTGGAACAAATAAACACTGGACAGCAACGTTGTCGGCAACGTTGTCGGAACCGCCGCGGTGACGACAAAGCTGCATCCAACATATGACAGTGTGGAAAGCGTTACTCACAAATACAGGCAGAGG